GTGGGCTCCCCCTTCCCTCGCCTCGCCCCACGCGGAGCGGACACACCTGCGCCGCACTTGCTCTCTGCTTTGGCTGCCGCTTTCCCGCTGGCTTCAGAGCCGACTCAAACTGCGCCTGCGCCGCGCGTGCGTACAGCCTTCGCTCCTCGGCCCCGCCTCCCAAGGGCGAAGGGCGGGGCGGAGTCGCTTGGAAAGTTTGGCGTTTCATTGTTTTAGGTCATTCCCTAAGGGGGCAGTTGGCCCAAAGCGTTGCCCAGAACAGAGAAGACGAAGCCCTGATCTTTAAAAACCTTGAATGAAGGGCTCAAGGTGGAGGTTTCAGTAAGTGCTTAAGGTTGCAGGGCGCTGGGCCAAGATCTGTCTCGCGAGAACTTGCGGTTGCCACGGTAACCCCTGACCGTGCCGATCTGGTACTCCGGAGTCCCGCAGCCAGGCGTTTGGCGTTGGTTCTACCCATCCCCCTTTACTCTTCTCGGTTCTCAGTTTCTGCCTGTAAGACTTGAATAAGCTAAAGTGACTCCATGCTAACAGGCCAGACCGTGCTTCTTCGTATGCTAATTGCTACCTTGGTTAACAGCCCGCCCAGGGGCAAATGGTTTGACAGAAAGTGACGGTAGAACATTTCCTGCATAAGATAAGCAATGTGTTTGCGGTCTTGTTCTGTGAATTCCCTGACTCTTTGTTTAGAAAAACCTTATACAAAGTACCTCAGCCCCTGAGCAGTTGCCTCTCTGAGCCACCTGGCTCCGGGAGCGCCGTCTGGCCAGACTAATAAAGGTCTATTTACCATAAAACCTGGTGTGTTCCCTCCTGGGTTTCTCGTTTCTCCATCGAGCTCCCGGAGCCTCGCTGGGTGTTAGGGCCCAGCATCATGGAGGCCTTTTGGGCTGTTCACAGCTTTTGGAAGTAAGGCCGTGGGTCTTGCCTCCGGAGCCATCGTTGGGCTGTAGGACTCAGCATCGTGGAGGTCCTTTTGGCTGTTCACGCTCCGTGGAGTGGAAGTGAGACTTTAAGTCTTACACTGCCCTTCTGTCTTAGGAGTCCTAACCTCTTCTCGATCAAGGGACGCACAGTCTAAGCCTGTGTCCCCGTGGCACCTGTCTATTGGGTACTCAGCCGCGTCATGAAAATCAAATAAGTGAGCCAGGTTAGATAGGAAGATGGATTTTATACCAAATGATCAGTTTTACTTTTTTTTTTTTTTTTTTTTTTTTTTTAATTGAACTGGGGACCTGGAGCACTGAGCTAAATCCCTGGCCCAGTTTTACGTTTTTTTGAGACAGGGTCTCACTATGTAGTTGAGACTGATCTGGAACTCACTATGTAGCCCAGGCTGGTCTCGAACTCAACGGCGATTCTCCTGCCTCAGCCTCCAGAGTGCTGGGATTACCGGCGTGCGCCACCATGCCTGGCTCAGTTTTACTTTTTTTTTGGGGGGGGGTGGTACCGGGCATTGAACTTGGGTCCTTACGCTTGCAAGGCAGGCCACCGAAACGCTGAGCTAAATCCCCGGCTCAGTTTTACTTTTTAATGACAGGTATTAGTTATTTTACTGTAAAATATCAGTAAAGTCTTTGAATAACTTACAAATCTTATAAAAGCTTTTTATATTCTATAACTGGTCTAGTATTAGGTTATATGCTATGATATTGTTGTGTCTAAGTTGCAAAATCCCCAAGAAGACCACCAGGAAACTCTTCTGATGTAAATATATGAGGAGTTTATTGTAAGTTCGAGCCTGGACTCCCAGTGTCACTGACACAGCGGCTTTAAACTGGAAGTCCTGACCCACTAAATTAGCCTATTTTTATAGGGTTTGGGTGGTTTGAAATTTTCTTTATTTTATTGGCTTTTTAAATAATTTTTGTTGATTTTATTGGCCTATAATTTTAACTTATTATTGGATATTATAAGATGCAATATTTTAAACTTATTGGCTATTATTTGGGCGCAGGCAGGGGTTTGTGCAGGAGATTTATCTTAGTCATCTAACTGTCACAGTCGGTTTCACCATATTTTGACATGGCTGTAGTTTTTGGAATAAACTGTCCAGTTGTGATTTCTGGAAACTGTTCAGTTGTAATTTCTGAAAAACCTGGTTTTTGGTTAATCTATTTTTTGGCAATGGAAGGCTATCTGTACAGTTTAAAGGTCAGTCCGAATAATGGAGCATCTAATCTGGCTTAGCTAAAATGGAGGGACTTTGGCCTCTTTCAGTTTCTCAGATATAAAGCAGTTTATGATTCTGGGTGATAAATTGTGTCATTAGCTGCAATCCTTTGATGAAATAAATGAAAGTCCCAACAAGAAAGACTGAGGAATGTAGAAGATTCTTTCTTCCCTCCATGTATTCTGACCTTTGCTCTGAGTGTTTTTGTTGTATCATATATATCAACATCAATTGTTATGTGAACGACAATCAGTGTTTTCAACCAGTTGCTAAGAACAGACTTTAATGATGAGGTGCAAAGTTAAAGAGCAGGTTTTAAGTCTCTGTTATTGGAGGCTTTGCTGATGAGTATGTAACAGCTCAAGGAAAATCTGTGTGCGTGAAGGCAGTGGGAACAGGAGGAAGTTTCAAGCAGTCAAGCAATTCCTAGGAAGTAGCACAGTGGCAGTGCCACACTTGCATAGATAAGACCAAGAACGGGGAAAGAACCTAACTGGATTTAATCCAAACCAAAGCAAGAGTTAAGCCCAGTGTGATTTCTGCTCCCTGCACCCCTTGTCCTATGGGCCAACATCCCTAATTCCAGAGGTCTGGTAATGGTGTCATGAGTGGTGAGTCACTGAGGAACCAACTCTGAACTTCAGCATGCAGTTGTACAGACACCTGCTGAGCACACCTAGGAGAGGCTGGGGAGATGGAAATCCCTCATCTCCACCAATACTGCACAGATACACATGAGAAACACCCTGAGTCTTCCCCAGGATACAGAATCCCTGACCCAGGAGAAACTGGAGGGTCGCCTTTGTGGCTATGGGGCTTTGGCTGTGCTGTTCTACTGAAAAAGACAAATTTAAAAGACTTTTTTGTTTTGGTACCAGGGATCAAACTCTGGACCTTGCGCTTGCGAGGCAGGCAATGGTAGCACCACTGAGCTAGTCCCCAGTCCTTGAAAGACTATTTTAAATCAAATGATGATAAGGTTAGTCTGATATGTTCTGTAATTGAATGTTTTAAAGAGCAGTTTTAGGTCCACAGTACTTTTTTTTTTTTTGAGGTAAGAGACCTAATATGAACAGCTCTAAAATAATTTGAGATGAAGTTAGTTATGTTGCAACTGAATGTTCACACAAAAACTTATACAGTGTTCACAACTGCACTATTTATAACAGCCAAGTAGAAAGTACTCACGTCTATCAATTTAAAGAAGGATTAACAAAATACAGCATACCACACAATGGAATATTATTTAGTAATACAAAAGAATAAAATACTAACCCTAAAAATAGAAAAAAAAAGTTTGCTGTGTTGCACAGACTGCCTCAAACTCCTGTGTTTGAGAAATGACTCCCCGTAGCTGAGACTATAGAGATGTGACACCACACAGACTTTTTTTTTTTTCCTTTTGGTCCAGACTCTTTGGAAGAAATATAAGCAGAATTAGTTGAGAAGTCTTTAAAGATAGAAATGTGTACAGATGTCTATGTATTTATTAGGTGAAAACATAACATTCAACTTTGTTAGTGCAACAAAATTTATTGAGCATCTTCTATGTGTCAGGCAGCTTCTCCTGGGTATACCCAAAGGAAACTCCATCTGGGCACCTGTGCTAGTTAGTGACACATGATGGTAGTGACAGTGCGACCCCAGCCACTCCCTCTGGCACCAAGCATGGTTGAGCTTCTGCAAATTCAAATTCATACACACACATCCATGTTCCAGGTTTGCTAAAATGAACACGAAAAGCAGAGACTAAAGAGCGGCCCTAAAATATCATGTGAGGACTGCGGAGGCACTGATAAAGAAAAGGAAGCCTGGTGCAGTGGCACAAAGCCTGAAATCCCAGATACTCAAGAGGCTGAGGCAGGAAGACCTTAAGTTCAAGGCCAGTCTGGGCAGTTTAGTGAGACCATCTCAAAAACAAAAATAAATGAGGCCGGGGATATAGCTCATTGCCAAATTCAATCCCCAGTCCCACCCCCAAAGAGTGTGGGTGACATTAAACTGCACTTCTTATACTTGACATGGTGAAGGGATAGTTTCTCCCT